CCAGCTTGGCAGCCACGACCGCGCGTGCGCACTCACAAGGCCGGAGATCAACCGATCATCCTACACACACGTGAACCCCTCTCCACTCAACCAACATACCAAAAAACCAAATAGCCGCGCGTGGTTGTTGGGCCACTATCAGTCCAGCTCACTCCGTAAGCTGAGGCGGAAAATCGCGTGAACCCACGACGCCGGCAGCTTGCAGTGAGTCTGAGATCGCTGCCTCGCTGGCGCCCGACCAGCCGGAGACCTCCATCTCAAACAAACAAACCAAAAAAGCCAACACAGACACCAAAGCAAAAAAATCATATACTTGCATGCCCCAATACTTTACTTATTTTTTTGAGATGGAGTTGGGCTCTGTCGCCAAGCCTACAGTCAGTGCGTAATCTCGGCTCACTGCAACTTCCGCATCTGGGTCAAGTGCATTCCCCCTCTGCCTCAGCCTCCCAGACTGGGATTTACAGCTCGTGCCACACGCCAACCTAATTTTTGTCATTTTAGTCCGAGACGCAGGGATGTTGCACCACATGGTCAGCTGGTCTTGAACTCCCTGACCTTCAAAGTATCCTCCCCCACTTGGCCTCAACGTGCTGGATCTACGGCCATGAGCCCACCGCGCCCCTGGCTGTTTTTTTTTTTTTTGGAGACAGAGTCTCACTCTGTCAGCCAAGCTGGAGTGCACTGGTATGATTTTGGGTCACTGCAACCTCTGCCTCCAGGGTTCAAGCAATTCTCCTGCCTCAGCCTCCCGAGTAGCTGGGATTACAGGTGCACACCACCATGCCTGGCTAAATATTGTATTTTTAGTAGACGGGGTTTCTATGTTGGCCAGTATGGTCTCGAACTCCTGACCCCAAGAGATCCGCCCACCTCAGCCTCCCAAAGTGCTGGGATTACAGGCGTGAGCCACTGCGCCCAGCCTACCTCGATGAATTGATGCTTTAGCAAGGGACTTCATTTGAGTAAAAGGAAGAGACAATATTTACAAAAATATTCAGTAGATGACACGAAACACATAGAGCAAGAATTGTGAAGTTGGTATTTCCAAGGACTGAAGTTTAGGAAACAGTCTATTAATGGGAAAGCCCAATATAAGACCCCGAAATAAATCAGACCTGGACCTTGCCCTTAGGAATATGCAGGCTTCCTTTCCTCACCATCCTTCAGTCCACAGACACCACGATGATTTGTTCATAAGGGTACTTCAGAGACAGTGAATTACTGCCTAGTCACTTACTGACTTTGAAAAGTATTTAATATGAAGCATCTACTAAGGAAAAAGTCATCTTCCAGCTCCAAGTAAAGTAGAGCCACTTGCAACTCAGTAAAAATGTTGAGTTTGGTTAGGTGTGGCAGCTCACACCTATAATCCCAGCACTTTGGGAGGCCAAGGCAGGAGGATCACTTGAGCCCAGGAGTTCGAGACCAGCTTTGACAACATAGAGAGACCCTGTCTTTCAAAGAAAAAAAAAAATGTTGAGTTCGAGAAGTGAGTAGTGTTTATAAGACCGAACGGTGATCTCACAAGATTAGTTCTCCATTTCGGGTGACAACCCCTCAATACAATTTGGTCAGGACATACATGTTCCATAAGAACTGAACATTCAGGGCCAGCACGGTGGCTCACGCCTGTAATGCCACCACTTTGGGAGGTCGAGGCAGATGGATCACTTGAGTTCAAGAGTTTTGAGACCAGCCTGGCCAACATGGTGAAACCCCATCTCTACTAAAAATACAAAAAGTAGCTGGGCTTGGCGGTACGCACCTGTAGGACCCAGCTATTCTGGAGGCTGAGGCAGGAGAACTGCTTGAACCTAGGGCACTCGAGCCTGAGTGACAGAGCGAGATTCCGTCTCAAAAAAAAAAAAAAAAAAAAAAAAGAAGAACCAAACATTCACTCAAGTATTCAACAAGCATTTCCTTGTGAGCTAGACCTTGAAAGGGGCAAGACAATCACTGTCACCCAAAGGAGCTGCCTATCTACCTGAAGAGACTTCTGCCGTAACAGGAACTGCAAAGCCACCCCAGGTGGGTGCCCAGGACACAGGACACAGTGGTGCTAAAACAACAAAGGTGACTCCCCTTACCTGGCTGCTGAACTGGCGGCCACTGGCTGGATCTTTAGCAGCAACTAACGAAACACAAAACATTTTAAGTGAGCAATGGAACTCTTAGGCTTATTGTCATAGCTGAATATTCCAGGGTCTATGGCCTGAGCCTTTGTTTCCTTTAATGACAAAAATTAAAAAAGAAATTATAATCTCTTCTAATTATGGATTTTTTTGTTATTAATGCTTCATATCCCTTCAATTCTCAAACCAAAGGCCCTCAAGTTACCAAATGGCACTTTCAACTGCAACAAAGTTACCATAAAGATCTCTGACCTTTGTCAGAGTGGCTTCATGTGTGGCTCACACCTGTAAGCCCAACACTTGGGAGGCTGATGTGAAAGGACTGCTTGAGCCCAGGAGTTCAAGACCAGCCTTGGCAAAATTAGGGAGACCCTGTCTCTACAAAAAATTTAAAAATTATCAGAACAAATGTCTCTGAGGAAGAGGGGACAAAAATTTTTTTTAATAGCCAGGCATGGTGGTACACACCTGCAATCCCAACTACTTGGAAGGCTGAGGTAGGAAGATCACTTGAGCCCAGGAGGTGAGGTCACGGCTGCAATGAGCCACAATGTGTCTTTGCTCTCCAGCCTGGGCAACCTTGTCTCAGAAAAAAAAAAAAAAGTCCAGGCACAGTGGCTGACTCCTGTAATCCCAGCACTCTGGGTGTCCAAGGCAGGCAGATCACTTGAGACCAGGAGTTCAAGACCAGCCTGACCAACATAGTGAAACCCCACCTCTACTAAAAATACAGAAATTAGCTGGGCTTGGTGGTATGCAACTATAGTCCCAGCCACTCAGGAGGCTGGCTGAGGCTGGAGAATCGCTTGAACCTGGGAGGTGGAGGTTGCAGTGACCTGAGTTCATGCCACAGCACTTCAACCTGGGCGACAGAGTGACACTCGGTCTCAAAAAAAAAAAAAAAAAAAAACTCTAAATGATTACCAAAAAAGTAAAGATTGTGAAAGATGGAAAAGTAAGTTTTGAACTGGAATATCAATCAAACTTTACCTCACAGTATTTATGCATAGATAAATACTCAAAATACCAACACACACACACACACACACACACACACACACACACGCGCGCGCGCGCGCACGCACACAGTCCTTACTTGCAACCTGGTGCATTTCCTCCATACATGCTCTTATGACTGATCGGTAGTTTTTACTCACTCGAACCAATCTATAAAAAATGAAATAACACACAAGATGAGCCTGGAACATCTTGTAGTGCCAGAAAAGAAGAAAACACTCAAATAAATGTAGAAATTTGCTGAAAGAAAGAGGGGAGCCATTGTGAAGGAGCTCGTAACCTTCTGAAGCTGGAACAACTTGGGCAACAAAATAAAACGCCACAAAACAACCCATGGGCTAAAGTTAATATCCATAAACCCATACTGACATTAATTGTTGCAGATGAAATCTACTAGTCAGACCTTGTCTCAAAAAAATAGATACATAAAGTTATTTAATGGCCGAGCCCAGTGGCTCAGGTCTGTAATCCCAGCACTTTGGGAGGTGAAAGCGGGCAGATCACCTGAGGTCAGGTGTTTGAGACCAGCCTGGCCAACCTGGTGAAACCTAGTCTCTACTAAAAATACAAAAATCCCAGCTACTCGGGAGGCTGAGGTAGGAGAATCTCTTGAACTCGGGAGGCGGAGATTGCAGTGAGCCAAGATCATGTCATTGCACTCCAGCCTGGGCGACAGAGCGAGACTCCATCTCAAAAAAAAAATAAAAAATAAAAAATAAGACAGGGTCCCCTGCCATCAAGGAATTACAGGACTTTTGACATGTTTTTTCCTAGAAGTGACAATAGATTTCTCAAACTCACCAATATTACCCACCAGAGTCCCTCAAAACCAATAATCAGGCCAGGTGCAGTGGCTCACGCCTATAATCCCAGCACTTTGGGAGGCCGAAGTGGGCAGATCACTTGAGGTCAGGAGTTCGAGACCGGCCTGGCCAACATGATGAAACCCTCCTCTACTAAAATGCAAAAATTACGCCAGGCGTGGGTGGCACGCACCTGTAATCCCAGCTATTCGGGGCTGAGGCAGGAGAATGGCTTGAACCAGGAGGCAGGCTGCAGTGGGCCGAGATTGCCACTGTCCTAGCCCAGGTAACGAGTCAAAAAAACAGGGCACGGCCAGGCGCGGTGGCTCACGCCTAAATCCCAACACTTTGGGAGCCAAGATAGATCCACGAGGTCTGGAGATCGAGACCATCCTGGTCACATGGTAGAAACCCGTCTCTACTAAAAATACAAAAAATTAGCCAGGAGTAGTGACGGGCACCTGTTTAGTCCCAGACTGGCTCGGACGGCTGAGGCCAGGAGAATGGCGTTGAACCCGGAGGCAAGGAGCTTGGCAGTGAGCCGGAGATCGCGCGCCACCCACTCCACGCCTGGGTGACTGGCAAGACTTCGTCTCAACCAAAAAAAAAAACAAACAAAAAAAAAAACAGCAGGGCAGCATGGTGCTCACGCCTGTAATCCCATCACTTTGGGAAGGGCCAAGAACGGGTGGATCACGAGGTCAGGGATACGGAGAGCCATCCTGGCTAACACGGTGAAACCCCATCTCTACTGAAATACAAAAAATTAAGCCAGGCCGTGGTGGCGGGGACCCTATAGCCCAGCTCTCAGCAGCTTGAGCGAGAGAAGGGAATGCCAGGAGCAGCGCGAGCTTGCAGTGAGCAGAGATCGCCGCCACTTGCACTCTAGGCCTGGTGCGACAACGTGAAACTCTTCTTGAAAAAAACAGGAAAAACGCCGGGCGCGGTGGTCAAGCCTGTATCCCAGCACTTTGGTGAGCCGTGAGTGCGGATCACGGGTCATGGAGATCGAGACCAATCCTGACGCACAGGTGAAACCCCATCTCTACTAATAAAAATGACAAAAACTAGCTGGCGAGTGTGGCAGGCGCCTGTATGTCCCAGCTACTCGGGAGGCTGAGGCAGGAGATGGGCGTAAAACCGGGAGGCGGAGCTTGCAGTGAGCTGAGATCCGGCCACTGCACTCCAGCCTGGGCGACAGAGGCGAGACTCCGTCTCCAAAAAAAAAAAAAAAAAAAGAAACAACCATAATCCCTCCCCTGCAGATCACCTCACACAGAAGTTGACCTGGGTCTTGTCCAGAATGATTCATTTGTGAAAAGCTTATCAAAGAAGTAATATACCAACACTGCCCATGCCCTAGCCATGTGAAGGGATGCTGACAAAAGTCTAACACAGGAGTTCTTAAACTCCAGTGTGCTGGAGATTTTAAGATCCAACCAGAGATTTTGATTTTGATGATCTGCGGTGGGTCCCAAAAGTCTACAATTTACAAGTACTACTCTGATAATGATGAAGTTATGAACTACAATTCAAGAAAATCCTAATCTATAAATACTACAAGAGTTTTCTGGTCTGTTGTCAGATAATGTCTCAACCATAATTTTTAGAGACAAAACTGTTATATTAATTTTCAAATCTCCCAACAATGTGACCTCATTCAATGACTCTCACATGCTTGTGTGGCCTAAATTTTCTTCTTTAGAGGGTAAGTAAAATAGGACTATAAATAAAGCTTGTCAAGCCAGCCAATCAACAGTATTTGCATATTCCTGCTAAGTCTTCCTATCACTGCTAATGTACATTGTGCAGTACTAATGCCTCAACTAGAACCAGGAGTCTCTTATTTCTTTACACAACCCTTAAAACACACAAAAAGACGACAATGTACTTCATTTGGCTTTCCACAGTGTAGAGTGGGCTTCAACACCAAACAGCAACCAACTTACTGAGATTTTCTGGATTTTCCAGTCAACTCTTCATCAATTCTCTGGAGGCCCAAAAAGATTCCATGGGATTCATTGAAGAGTTTTCTCAAGATTTGAGAGTAAACATCTACATCCTTACGGATGATATAGATAAAGGGGCAACTTGGCACCATCTCTGATTTTTCTGAAACAAAACAGAAAAAAAAAAAAAAAAAAATTAACATCTATTACGATCATCCCCAAAAGTCAATCTACTCTAAAAAAAAAGTTTTGTGACCGGGCACGGTGGCACATGCCTATAATCCCAGCACTCTGGGAGGCCAAGGCAGGCGGATCACGAGGTCAGGAGCTCAAGACCAGGCTGGCCAACATAGCAAAACCCTGTCTCTACTAAAAATACAAAAATTAGCTGGGTGTGGTGGCGTGTGCCTTCATTCCCAGCTACTCAGGAGGCTGAGGCAGGAGAATTGCTTTAACCGGGGAGGCAGAGGTGGCAGTGAGCCAAGATCGCACCACTGCATTCCAGCCTGGACAGAGCGAGACTCCATCTCAAAAAAAAAAAAAAAGAAAGAAAACAAATCAAATGTCAAGATTCCAGTTTTATCCTGCTACTGGAGGGAGACTGTATCAGGAAAAGAAAAAGATTCACATCCTATCCAATAGCTGATGGAACTTAGAAAATCAAGCCAAGGACAAGCTATGTCACTCTCCAGCTCCATCTGTGCTTTCGATGCTAGCTCAGCCTACAGAACTATTATTCAGCTGAATCCATGCTGTGGACACAAAAGTGATGGCCAAGCATCTGCAAGGTTCACAATAAGGAAGCTACTGAGGAATTTGGTCACTTTGGACAAAGATAAACAGATAAAAAGCTTGACATTTTAAATATGAAGAAAATTTTTCATGAAAACTACTGTTAATTTTTTCCCAGGATTCAACATCTTCAAGATCTCAAAAATCAATGAAAATCTAAAATAGCTAACATTTCAAAAATAAAAATGCCAAAATGCAGCAGGATCACTCGAGGCCAGAAGTGTGAGACCAGCCTAGGAAACAAAACGAGACTCCTATCTCTACAAAAAAAAAAAAAAATTAGCTGGGTGTGGGGGCACGGTGACCTGTAGTCTCAGCTACCAGGAAGACTGAGGTGGAGGATCACTTGAGCCCAGGAGGTAGAGGCTGCAGTGAGCCATGATCGCACTGTACTCCAGCCTGGGTGACACAACAAAATATCTGTTGTATCTTGAAAACAAAATAAAGAAAATTAAAACGGTACAAAATAAATTCAATTGTTTCAGTCCACAACTAGTGAAATCTGAGGTAATAAACAGAAAAACAACCAAATGTGCCAAGATGGACAATTTGGAAGAAAAAAAACCCCCACCTTTTTTGCTGAAGGAGGTTTCACACACCAGCATCTCCCCTGGACCCCAGTCAAAACACATTTGGTTCTTCTTGGAATTCACGCCTGGAATCACCTAGTAAAATAAGACATAGAAATCTAAAATGAAGAATGTTCTTCTTACTGAAGTCGTTCTATTCTTTTTTTTTTTTTTTTTTTGAGACAGCGACTCACTCTGTCTCCCAGCCTGGTGTACAGTGGCACAATCTCAGCTCACTCCAATCTCCGCCTCCTGGGTTCAAGGTCTTCTACTGCCTCAACCTCCTGAGTAGCTGGGACTATAGATGTGTGCAACCATACCCGGCTATTTTAGTAGAAACGGAGTTTCACCATATTGCCCAGGCTGGTTACAAATTCCCAAGCTCAGGTGATCCGCCCGCCTCAGCCTCCCAAAGTGCTAGGACTACAGGCGTGAGCCACCGTGCCCACCTGGCTGAAAAACACTTTCCACCGTGCCGGCCTGGCTGAAAAACACTTTAAGTGAAGAGCACAGCTGGTCCTGTAATAACATTGTATCCTTCAATAACATTTTCTTATAACACTAGTAAGAAAAATTCATTTTGTGCTGGGCACGGTGGCTCCCACCTGTAATCCCACCACTTTGGGAGGCTGAGGCGGGCAGATCATCTGAGGTCAGGAGTTCGAACTCTTGTTGCCCAGGCTGGAGTGCAGTGACGCAATCTCACGATCTCCGCTCACTGCAACCTCTGCCTCCTGTGTTCAAGTGATTCTCCTGCCTCAGCTTCTTGAGTAGGTGGGATTACAGGCATGCGCCACCACGCTAGGTTAATTTTTGTATTTTTTTTAGTAGAGACGGGGTTTCGCCATGTTGGCCAGGCTGGTCTCGAACTCCTAGCCAGGTGTGGTGGCTCACGCCTGTAATCCCAACACTTTGGGAGGCCAAGGTAGGCAGATCACGAGGTCAGGAGTTCAAGACCAGCCTGACTAAGATGGTGAAACCCCATCTCTACCAAAAATATAAAAATTAGCTGGGTGTGGTGGCACGCACCTGTAATCTCAGCTACTCAGGAGGGTGAGGTAGAAGAATCGCTTGAACCTGGGAGCCAGAGGTTGCAGTGAGCTGAGATGGCGCCACTGCACTCCACCCTTGGTGACAAAGTGAGACTCCGTCTCAAAAAAAGAAAGAGGCCAGCCGCAGTGGCTCACACTTGTAATCCCAGCACTTTGGGAGGCCGAGGTGGGCAAATCACGAGGTCAGGAGATCCAGACCATCCTGGCTAACACGGTAAAATCCCGTCTCTACTAAAAATACAAAACAAAATTAGCCGGGCGTGGTGGTGGGCGCCTGTAGTCCCAACTACTGGGGGAGGCTGAGGCAGGAGAATGGTGTGAACCCGGGAGGCCGAGCTTGCAGTGAGCCCAGAGGGGCGTCACTGCACTCCAGCCTGGGCAACAGAGCGAGACTTCGTCTCAGAAAAAAAAAAAAAGAAATGAAACCATCCCTCTACCTACCCTGAGATGAATGCATACATAAATTTTTCCTCTACTCCCTCTTTTCACAGGTAAAATGCAGATTTACTGAGGCTAATCAGAGACTCACAAGAATGTAACCATTTGCCTCCTCACTGCCTAACCTCCCTTTTTTGCCCCTCTTGCTAGTTCCTTCCTCTTTAACTACTGATGTTCCCAAAACCATCTCTGGAAAAAGCACAAGTCTCAGATCCTCCTGTGACCTGTGTTTTTTCCCGGTTGGATCCTCAACCTTAGCTAAATAAACCTTTATCGGTTGAGACCTGCCTCAGTCAGCGGTTAACAAGAGAAAGAGGGAAAACAAAAGCATTCCAAGTAGCAGAAACGGTAGGTATGTCGCACATAAAGTCCATGAATTTTTTTATACACATCACAGATCATCCACAGTTGACATACTCTCTTCAAAGCTCAAATGGAATTGAATGCACAGCGATAAAATATGAATAGTCTCCTGAGAGAACACGTTTAATAAACTTTAGGTCACACAAGGAGAAACTCAACGTGCCGCGATGCAGAGCTTAATATGGCTGGAAGAAAAACATAAATTCCTCTGCTTGGGCTGAACCCACTCTAATACCCAAGAGGAAATGTGAGGGAAGTAGAAAGGTCAGCAAGACAAAGGAAGGAAAGGGACGGACTGGGACCTTCGAGGCCTGGCTTTGTGACTGGTGGCAGAAACCCCGCGACCACCACGACCCGAGGTCGGGCACCTCGTTAACATTGCGACCTCCGGAAAGTGGCAACTGAATCAAGGGAAGGGGACGAGAGCCTCGCGGCCAGTAGGGAAGCAGACAAGCCTGAAGTAACGAAGCAGATGCAGTTCTCAACCCGCAAGGACGATCAAGCCTGTTCGGGGTGCCCTTACAGTGACTGCTGGCTCGCCATCGAGCTCCTCCATAGCGCCGAACCCCAGGCTCTGGGAAGTCGCCGGGACGCCAATGCTTCCCGCTCAGGCCTCCCGCTCAGAGCTGGCTGAGAGACAGGACCCCGCCTGGGCGCCTCCTGCAGCGCCTGCAAGCCCAAACCTTCAGTGCTGCGGCGCTCTCTTCCCTCAGCCACGGCCACCCCTCTGCGGTCCTCTGCGCGCGTCCTTTCTTCCTGGCGTCGACAGCAAGTCAGTGAAAACAGCGCCGAGGACGGACTGCACTCACAGTACCGCGCTAACAGGATCAGGCGGCGCCGCGGACACCCTGGTGCCGAGCGGAGAGAAGGCCCCCGGAGAGGGCGGGCGGGGCAGGAGGGTGGCCAGAGACGGTGCGACTGCGCGTGCGTAGGCTGGGGCGGCGGTACCTGGATGGGAACTTATGCTGGACTGAGGTCCCAGTAAGCCTGCAAGCTCTCCCAACTCTGGGAGTCCTCGCTCCATCCTTATCTCCACCTTAGTGTCGTAGCAGCCACTTGTCCAAACCCAAACAGTCAAATGGGCTTGTGCTGGAAAGCAGTCGCCGTCACTCCCACACTAGAACACACACAAGAGGCACGGGGACAAAATCGATGCTCCTGAAGGATTAGAGGCTTGAGGTGGCTCAAGCCTCTAATCCCAGCACTTCGGCAGCCCGAGATGGGCGGATCACTGGAGGTCAGCTGTTCAAGACCAGCCTGGCCAATACGATGAAACCTCGTCACTACTAAAAATATTTAAAAAATTAGCCAGGCTTGGGCTGGGTGCGGTGCCTCACGCCTGTAATCCCAAAACTTTGGGAAGCCGAGGCGGGTGGATCACAAGGTCAGGAGTTCGAGACCAGTGTGGCCAATATGGGGAAACCCCCATCTCTACTAAACATACAAAATTTAGGCCGGGCGCGGTGGCTCACGCCTGTAATCCCAGCACTTTGGGAGGTCGAGGTGGGTGGATCACCTGAGGTTGGGTGTTCGAGACCAGCCTGACCAACAGGGAGAAACCCTATCTCCACTAAAATTACAAAATTAGCTGGGCGTGGCAAGAGAATCGTTTGAACCCGGGAGGCAGAGGTTGCAGTCCGCCGAGATCGTGCCACTGCACTCAAGTCTGGGCGACCAAAAAAAAAAAAAAATTAGCCGGACTTGATGACGCGCGCCTGTAATCCCAGCACTTTGGGAGGCCGAGATGGGCGGATCACGAGGTCAGGAGATCGAGACCATCCTGGCTAATACGGTGAAAACCCGTCTCTACTAAAAAATACAAAAAACTAGCTGGGCGAAGTGGCAGGCACCTGTAGTCCCAGCTACTCGGGAGGCTGAGGCAGGAGAATGGCATAAACCCGGGAGGTGGAGCTTGCAGTGAGCCGAGATCCGGCCACTGCACTCCAGCCTGGGCGACAGAGCGAGACTCCGTCTCAAAAAAAGAAAAAAAAGAAAATAGCAAAATTATCCAGGTGTGGTGGCACATGCTATAGTTCCAGCTACTCGGGAGGCTGAGGTTGGGGTGATCGCTTGAGCTCAAGAGGCAGAGGTTGCAGTCAGCCGAGATCCTGGCACTCCAGTGAGAAAGTGACACCCTGTTTCAAAAAAAAAAAGAAGAGAGAGAAAGAAAAGAAAGAAAGGAAGGAGGGAGTGAGGGAGGGAAGGAAAGAGAAAGAGAAAGAAAGCAAAGGTGAGCTGGGTGCTGTGGCTCATACCTGTAATCCCAGCACTTTGGGAGACTGAGATGGGAGGACTGCTTGACCCCAGCAGCTTGAGACCAGTTTAGGCAACATAGTGAGATTGTCTCTACCAAATATAACACAATTAAGAGAAAAAAATTAAAAAATTAGCATGGTGACACATGCTTGTGGTCCCAACTACTTGGGAGGCTGAGGTGGGAGAATCGCTTGAGCCCAGGAGGTTGAGGCTGCAGTGAGCCATGATGATGTCACTACATTCCAGCCTGGGCCAAAGAGCAAAGGACTCTGTCCGAATGACAGAAATAAAATAAAACGTAAATTAAACAAAAAAAAAAGAAGAAGGCGGCCGGGCACAGTGGCTCACGGCCTAAATCCCAGTAATTTGGAGGCCAGGCCAGCAGATTCACGAGGTCAGGAGTTCGGGTCCAACCTGGCCAATATGGTAAAACCCCATCTCTACTAAAAATATAAAATTAGTCAGGGCAGTGCGGCTGGCGACGGTTGCCTGTAGTCCGCCAGGCTACTCGAGAAAAGGCTGAGGCAAAGGAGGAAATCTCTTGAACCCACGGAGGCAGAGGTGGCAGCGACGCAGTGAGATCGCCGCCAATTTGAACTCAGCCTTAGGGGCAACAAGAGCAAAACTCTGTCTCAAAAAAAAAAAAAAAAAGAAAAGAAAGAAAGAAAGCAGTGTAATTCAAGTGTGGAATTTATCCACCATATGTGGGCATTCATGTTGGTTACTCAAGAATGTTTTGAAATTTGGAATATTTTCCCATTTTCAGGATCTTTCATATTAGAGACACTTCAGCCCCGCGTGTACCCATCCATGGAGGCTATCACCAAACTCGGGGCATCATCTTGGCCGATACACGGTAGAAAGTTTTTAATACTTTTTTTAGATTGGATTTCTTGTTTTTTCTTTTAGACGGAGTCTCGGCTTTCTGGTGTCAACCCAGGTGGAGTTGCAGTGGCCGGGATCTCAGGCTCCTGCAGCTCCGCCTCCCGGGTTTACGCCATTCTCCTGCCTCAGCCTCCTGAGTAGCTGGGATTACAGGCACCCGCCACTGCGCCCGGCTAGTTTTTTGTATTTTTTAGTAGAAACGGGGTTTCACCATGTTAGGTCCTGACCTCGTGATCCGCCCGTCTCGGCCTCCCAAAGTGCTGGGATTACAGGCTTGAGCCACCGCGCCCGGCCGAGATGGAATCTTGCATTGTTGCCCAGGCTGGAGTGCAGTGGCAGGATCTCAGCTCACTGCAGCCTGGTCTTCCCATGTTCAAGCGATCCTCATGCCTCAGCCTCCCTAGTAACTGGGACTACAGGCACATATCACCATGCCCAGCTAATGTTTGTGTTTTTAGTAGAGACGATATTTCACCATGTTGTCCAGGCTGGTCTTGAACTCCTGACTTCAAGTGATCTGCCCGCCTCGGCCTCCCAAAGTGCTGGGATTACAGGTGTGAGCCCTGAAGCCTAGCCGATAGCGTTTCTACAATATCATCAGCATTCGGCCTCCAGGCTTCCTGCAGTATTGAGAAATTCAGGTTTTTTTGTTTGTTTTTGAGACAGTGTCTCTCTCTGTCACCCAGATTGGATTGCAGTGGCAGGATCTCGGCTCACCACAACCTCTGCCTCCCAGGCTCAAATGATTCTCCTGCTTCAGCCGCCTGAGTAACTGGGATTATAGGCAAGTGTCACCATCATCTAGCTAATTTTTGTATTTTTAGTAGAAACAGCGTTTGGTCACGTTGGCTAGGATGGTTTTGAACTCTTGATCTCAAGTGATCCACCTGTCTCGGCCTCCCAAAGTGATGGGATTACAGGCGTGAGTCACTGCACCTGGCCAGAATTCACTATTCACATTCGTACAGTATTCACAAATAGCTGAAGTACTCAACTAAACTATGTTATAGAATGAAAGAAAATTTGATGGTATAAAGTACACAAGTTTAGTCACGTGTATTATAAATTTGGTATGTGTTTAGGGATTCTGGCAAGGACTTAAAGCTCTAAACAAAACTCTATGATTCTTGTTCTCCTACCCCTTTTAGATTTTTTCTTTGAGACAGAGTCTCACTCTCTCACCTAGGCTGGAGTACAGTGGCATGATCTCGGCTTAATGCAACCTCCATCTCCTGGCTTCAAGTAGTTCTCTTGGCTCAGCCTTCCCAGTAGCTGGGACTACAGGTGTGTGCCACCATGCCTGGCTAATTTTTTTTTTTTTTTTTCAAGATGTAGTCTCGCTCTGTTGCCCAGGCTGGAGTGCAACAACACGATCTCGGCTCACTGCAACCTCCGCCTTCCAGATTCAAGCAATTCTCCTGCCTCAGCCTCCTGAGTAGCTGGGATTACAGGCATGGGCCACCACACCTGGCTAATTTTTGTTTTTTTTGTTTTGTTTTGTTTTGGTTTTGAGACGGAGTCTCGCTCTGTCGCCCAGGCTGGACTGCAGTGGCCGGATCTCAGCTCACTGCAAGCTCCGCCTCCCGGGTTTATGCTATTCTCCTGCCTCAGCCTCCCGAGTAGCTGGGACTACAGGCGCCCACCACCTCGCCCAGCTAGTTTTTTGTATTTTTTAGTAGAGATGGGGTTTCACCATGTTAGCCAGGATGGTCTCGATCTCCTGACCTCGGGATCCGCCTGTCTTGGCCTCCCAAAGTGCTGGGATTACAGACTTGAGCCACCGCGCCCAGCCAATTTTTGTATTTTTAATAGAGACAAGGTTTCACCACGTTGGTCAAACTTGTCTCAAACTCCTGACCTTGTGATTTTCCTGCCTTGGCCTCCCAAAGTGCTGGGATTACAGACGTGTGTCACCATGCCCGGCCCTCTTACCCCTTTTCGGAACGATGTATTTTTCTTTGGCAGCTGATCCTGCAGAATTCTGGCTAGTTGATCCTTTTGTGTGTGTGTGTGTGTGTGTGTGTGTGTGAGAGAGAGAGAGAGAGAGAGAGAGAGAGATGGGGTTTCACTCTGTCACCCAGGCTGGAGTGCAGTGGTGCAATCTTGGCTCACTGCTAATTTTTTTTTTTTTTTTGCAACATACATGGAGTTTTGCTATATTGCCCAGGCTTGTCTTAAACTCCTTAGCTCAAGAGATGCTCCTGCCTTGGTCTCTCAAAATGCTGGGATTACAGGCATGAGCCACTGCACCCTGACAGTTCACTCTATTCTTACTCTGTATTTCTTTTTTCTTTTCTTTTTTTTTTTTTTTTCCCCTGAGACAGAGTCTCTCTCTGTCCCCAAGCTGGAGTGCAGTGGTGCTATCTCGGCTCACTGTGTCTTCTGCCTCCGAGGTTCAAGTGATTTTCCTGCCTCAGCCTCCCAAGTAACTGGGATTACAGGCGTATGCCAACATGCCAGGCTAATTTTTGTATTTTTAATAGAGACGGGGTTTCACCATATTGCCCAGGCTGGTCTTGAACTGCTCACCTCAAGTGATCTGCCTGCCTCAGCCTTGCAAAGAGCTGGGATTACAAGCATGAACTACCACGCCTGGCCCTTACTCTGTAGTTCTTTTTGTTTGTTTGTTTGTTTTTCTGAGATGGAGTTTTACTCTTGTTGCCCAGGCTGGAGTACAATGATGCGATCTCAACTCACCACAACCTCCGCCTCCCTGGTTCAA